TCATTTACATTAGGTATATCTCCTAATGCTATCCCTCCCCCCTCCCCCCACCCAACAACAGGTTGGGCCTCATTTTCTTACAATGGAAATGAAGAAATAAGGAATAAGGACAGATAATCTCTAGGTTATCTCTTAGATTCCGACTATATTTAATAAGCCTATAGTAGAGGTCAAGTATAGTTTACTGCCCCTATTATACAGGAAGCATAATTGAAACAGAAAAGAAGCCTTGCAAGGGGTAAGCTAAGAAAGTCATTTCATTTTAACAACCATAAAAAATTAGGTGACCCTGCCTCTTTCTTGACTACATACAACACTGCATTAATATTTTTAATTCTTTTTTGAGGAAAAATCCCAACAAATCCTGCTCATAGGGAAACTGATAACATCTGTGTACACTCACATACACATACACATGAACTGACAATATTGATGGATAGAACATAAAAAGAGCCACAAACTTTACTATAAGCTGCAGATACACAGATATAGCTAGTGTTAACATTCCATATTGCTTGAAAGGCTATTCTATATAGATTGGGTGCTAAGTGCTTTATATAATGATTTATGCTTATCCATATTTTACGACTTCTATAAAAAGGAAAAGATTTTTTTTTAAAACAAAAATTGAAAGCCCCACATTATATTTTACACTGTATTTGTTTCTAATAAAATAACTATATGGACACAATTGTTCCCTAGATCTACTTTCACTGACTTCCCCCAGGGCTGAGCTTGGCTGTTCATAGTCCAATACTTGTTTATTCTGCCAACATAGAATAACAGTGAACTGTATTTGAAAGCCAAGTATGATACGGATATCAAAATACTGTGGTACAACAATGTACCATTCATCCTCATCTGGTTTTAAGAAGAAAAAAATGAAAGGACTAGCAAATTTCCTAAACACTGAAATTTGTTTTTCAAGTGATTGTGGCTATATATCCCTTTCCTGTATTACTTTTTAGAAAGCTAGTAGTTAGCTGCCTAAGTCTATTTTAAAACCTCACTAGTGGTTAGGTAAAGCTCGTGATAGGGAAACTACAAAGAAAATACTCAAACAAAAGTTGATTGGTGAAACAGTATCGATGAAGTGAAAATTAATATTTATTACCAAAATTTGATGCATTTAAAGTGCCTTTGTTGGTGAATTCTGTATTATAAGTCACTTTCCATGCTATTTAAAAATTAAACTTCAGATACACCAGGAAAAATATTCATAAATAAATTCATTCACTCACCTGGTAAGCCAGGTTCCCCCTTCTCTCCTTTTGAGCCCAGAAGATTTGGATCCATTGGTCCAGGAGGGCCTGGAAGGCCAGGCTCTCCTTTACTACCTTTTTCTCCTGCAGGGCCAGGAAGTCCTGGCTGACCCTGCAAGCCATCATCACCTAAAATCAATGTGTGTGAAAACACAATATATCCATTTTATCCATCCAAGATTAATGCATATAAAGATTATTCACATGTTTCACAGTTGAGTAGGCCACTGGCCACTCAAAATATTTATGCACCTTGGATGTCCTCTATGAATTACTTGAGTGCATACACATTTTTACACTCAGATAGCAATCCCTCCTTCTGGAACTCCTTGACAACGATAGAGGCTGAATATAAAAAATTAATGCTTAATCTGGCTGGGCACGGTGGCTCATGCCTGTAATCCCAGCATTTTGGGAGGCCAAGGAGGGCTGATCACAAGGTCAGGAGATCGAGACCATCTTTGCTAACATAGTGAAAACCCATCTCTATCAAAAATACAAAAAAAAAAAAAATTAGCCGGGAGTGGTGGCAGGCACCTGTAGTCCCAGCTACTGGGGAGGCTGAGGCAGGAGAATAGTGTGAACCTGGGAAGTGGAATTTGGAGTGAGCT